GGCGCCCTGGGAGGGCCCGGCCTGCCCGCAGCCCCTGCGCTCCCCAGCAGCCACGCAGCGGCGCGGAGAAACCGCAACAGAAACAGCGCGTCCTCCAACCACCTCAGGTTTTATTTACAGCAGTACAGCGGGATTCCATAGAGAACTCACCTGGATCCTGGAACTAGTACAGGCTACAACAACCCAGAGCTTCAACAGGGCGTGTTTGTCTAAAGCTTATTTTTCACCATTTACTCAGTCACATCGTTACTTTAATTGGTTATATAACATGTTTGGTTTTTTAAATCCTTTTAATACAGTACACACTACGCTGTTCTTCATATCACACTGGGACAAGGGAAATCCAGGAACTAAGAGTAGCCCAGGATGACAGCATCTCAGGAAAGCACGTTTATTCATCCGAGTCCAAGTCGCTGTCTCCTGCAATGGAATGAAAGTCCTCGCTGTCTTCCTCGTCCTCAGACAGATGGACTTGACTTAATACGCTTGGACCACAGCGCTGCTGTTCCTCCTCCTCCTCCTCTTCTGAGATCTCATACCCTCCAATGCTGCTAAAACTAGTATCTCTTGTATTGGACTTTGGGTCTGGTTCTTCATAGCTGCCGTAACTAGAACAAAGGAGATACTCTTAATATACCGTCATTTCAAATCAGCTGCTGATAGCAACTACTCTGTATTTAACACCTGTTCCCTGAATTAAAGTCCATATGGAACACTCAGAACCACAGTGCACTTCAATTCTATCAATGACCAGCTTTCTAAAATAAACAAACAGTTCTTCTGGTGAGTCTACCAACATCCTCATCCCACTGTGATATACTTCAGGACAGGAAAAGAGATAACTCCAACACCTTCTATCTGTCACCTTTACTACAAAGAGAAAAACAGAGAGCTCATCATCTTCTGCTGACTATTGTCATGGTACTGGGCTGGACTGACCATTTGCCTGACCCAGCATAGCTACCTACTATGATCTATTAGGCAAGTATCAATAATAGCATTACAGGACTGAATTCCAGGAGTAGAAAAAGAACAGAGGATCTAATGCTAATACTCTACAGAATGAGCACAGAATGAGGAGTAGGTCAGTATTCTCTAAAGCAAATGCAAAAAAAAAATAAAGCTGATATTGCTGTACTTGTAATTTTCCAATAATGGAACTCCTTCCAAAATAGAGAACATGCATATTCCTACTCCTTTGGACTTAGAACTAAGCTGTTTCCTTTTAAATAAAGAAATACTTATTGAAGAAAAAAAAGAAGCACCAAAACCCAAACATGAAGGTAATCAGCTAAATCATCTTAGCTTCAAAGGCATCCTGTAGTTTTCAAGAAAACTTAGAAAAACCTTTTTTTGTCCTACCTTCAAAAACGGGAAATAAATTTTTTAAAAATGTTCTTTCAACCAATATTTTATTAGTGAAAATTTAACAGCAAAACCAAACTTCTGTCAATAAGAAGTAAATTGCAGTTATGGTAATTATGGTTGGAACACTAAAGGCACAAATAACACAAAATAACTTAAAAGAAAAAAACATGAAATATTCTTCAGCTTTTTATAATAAACACTTCAGAAATCTTTAAGAGAACACATTTTGTTTTGAAGAATTATTTTAAGAAGATTCTCAGCTCTAATTACCTGATATTACTGTCCTCCATAACATGAGATGCCTCCCCACCATCTGCTTCATAAGACATCATGCTTTCCTCATTGTCCATGCCCATTCGTGTGTTCTCCTGAAGAACATGTGGTTGTTTAGGCCTCACTGCATTGGGCTCCACATCCGAGTCACTGCCACTCTCACTCAGTTGGATAGCTGTGTAGTAAACCAACATTTGGTCACAAATCAACAGTTTTGATCTGTCAGCTACATACCCATTAAGACAATGTTTAAAGGCTACAAGGTCTCCCCAAGGTAGTAGGAAGGGTATCTGGAAGGTGATACCGCTTACTGAGCACCCAATTCCAATGTCATTCAAAAGCAATCTCATTACCACCATTGTTCAAAAAGGCCTCCTCTGCTCTGAATAATGTCCCTTTCTCCCCACCTAATAATTGTGCTGTATGCTCTCTACTGCATGTTTTTGTGATGGAAGCATGTAAGCAGTTCCTATTATAAAAAAGGACACTTACATGAGAAAGGATTATCTCCCTCTTCATCAGTCCCATCATCATCATCCTCTCCCTCTGACATGAGCAAATCTTCATAGAGGACACTGGCCTGGGGCTGTTGGGCTGATCCTTCTTCTTCATCAGCAAGGTCACCATCTGCATCTTCAACTTCCTAGGCCATACAGAACAGAGATAGTGAAGATCAAGCAACATACAAACTACTGCTGCCATTTTCAGCATATGCCTATTAATCCACTGTTCATTCTGAAGCATTCACTCATTTCTTAATGCCAACATTCTCAAACTACATTTAGGAGCCCAGCTATTCCTATGAGTACTGCTGTCTTTCAGGGTGGCAGACAAAGCAGACAACCCTTACTCTATGGAGACATCTACCGCAAGTACACAACACGTAGACTGCGGCTGGGATTTCTGTAAATATACTCACTGGGGCTGGAGTCTTAGGTTTCCCATCATCATCCTCATCAAACACTTCAATATCTACGTCTGAGTCTTCCTCGCCCAGCCTACCTCGCCCCTGGCGCATCTGAATGGGGAACACAAATAGCAGTACCATTGAGGAATGCACTACTGGACATAAACCAGAGGGTATACTGACACCTGGACCACAACAATGGCTGCAGAAGTACAGGGGGGGAGGAGAAGGAGAAGAGACAAAAAGAAAAACATCTTCTGGACCACAACAATGGCTGCACAAGTACAGGGGGGGAGGAGGAGAAGAGACAAAAAGAAAAACATCTGTATATTGCTCCCAGAGCAAGGATCCTTTCTCTCTTTATTCCAAGATCGGAGAACACACAGTCTCCACACACTTTTATCCTGATGTGCTCATCCCTGAAAAGGGAATCTCCAGCCTTAAAGCAGCAGAGTTCCTCGTTTACCTAGCTATTTCTGGAAAATACAACTAGATCTTAAAGAGTGCTTATTTTCACAAAATATTTTAAAAAGAGACAGCAGTTTCCAACAAATCTCCCATTTTTCCCTCAGCCACCATGAGTCCAAGGTAGAGAGGACATGCATATTCTGTCCAAAGACTATGAAGTGAAAGTGTATAGAAAGCTTGAAGATTTAAGCCTAAAAGGCATTCTCAAAAGCACAGACAGCCACAGTACTAGATGGAACTATTAATTTTGTCTGGATTGACCAGAATAGCTCTCACTAGTCTTTCTAAAGTCAACTTCAGTCTGGTGCCCCTCCTCACCTTCTTCCTCCTCCTGGTAATTTATTTTCTTGGTCATATTATTGTATCTACTTCTGCTATTCCACCTTCTCCAACAATTTTTTTTTGTTTTTGTTTAATACAGAATAAAGACTAAGAAAAAAATATTCCGCTGTTACTGTAACAGAAGAGGAGCTCAGGAAGCTCTCTCCTTTAGCAAGCACAGAGAAGGAGCAGAAAATGCATTTATTGCCCAAGCCTCTTTCCTTTCCTACTGATCACCAACTTGGAAAAAAATCAGAATAATCGTGGGAGGGAAACCACCAAGAATGGCATTTTTGTTCTTCATTCTCTGAGGTGTCAGTATCATCCTTCATTCTGTCTGATCTTCCTTGAAATGTGTCAGTAAATAGCTTCAACAACCAATCACCAGAGGCTCCCTTGCAGGCATTCCCACTGCAATGAAGGACTTTCTCGATGATACTCAGTTACAGTATTTCCACTATTTTTAACTCAATCATAAGTACTAGCAAGTTCTTCCTAGCTTCCTATAATGCTACATTTTGGGGAATTTTTTTTTTGTGGGGAGAGATGCATGGAGGGTGTTAAATATTGCACCAAAATTGCAGCCTGCTATTCTGGCTCCAGCGATATAATCTTTTTATACTTACTGCTTAAATAAATTTGAACTCATTTTTTGCTTAAAAATAATCTTTGTAATATCTCATTGTCCCTGAAATTCAAACCCCTCTACTCTGCTCTGACTCTGATAAAATTAATGCAACTTTCCAGACATAATCACACCAGAGTTGCACTGAATAGATAAATTACTTGTCTGCAACTGGGATGAACGACTACAAAGACAGCATTGCTCTCTTCTCACACTGGGTATGTAATGTTTGAATTTTGATCGTTTGGTTATTAGCAGAGCAATCTCTCCCAAGGCTTACGAACTTAACAGGTTTGCCAAGTAAACAAAAGGAACATCTCAGACACTAGGATGCTATTACTTCCACCATTACTTAATTGCATAGTCATAGAATCATTTAGGTTGGAAAAGACCTTTAAGATTATTGAGTCAAACCATTAACCTAACTCTGCCTAAAGCTGCTAAACCACGTCCCTAAGCACCACATCTACATGACTTTTAAACACGTCCAGGGATGGTGACTCAACCACTTCCCTGGGCAGCCTGTTCCAGTCCTTGATAACCCTTTCAGTGAAGAATTTCTTCCCAATATCCAACCTAAAGCTGCCCTGGTGCAACCTGAGTCCATTTCCTCTTGTCCTATCACCTTTTATTTGTCAGAAGAGACCAACACCCACCTCACTACAACCTCCATTCAGGTAGTCGTAGAGAGCAGCAAGGTCTCCCCTCAGCCTCCTTTTCTCCAGACTAAACAATCCCAGTTCACTCAGTTGCTCCTCACAAGTCTTGTGCTCTAGGCCCTTCACCAGCTTAGCTACCCTTCTCTGGACCCTCTCCAGCACCTCAATGTCTTTCTTGGAGTAAAGGGCCCAAAACTGAACACAGTACTCAAGTTATGACCTCATCAATGCTGAGTACAGGGGGACAATCACTCCCTTATTTCTGCTGGCCACACTATTTCTGATACAAGTCAGGATGCTGTGGGCCGCCTTGGCTACCTGGGCACACTGCTGGCTCGTATTTAGGCAGTTGTTGATCAATACCCCCAGGTCCCTTTCTGCCACACAGCCTGCCAGCCACTCTGTGCCAAGGCTGTAGCACTGCCTTGGGTTGTGGCCCAGCTGCAGGACCCAGCACTTGGCCTTGTTGAAGCTCATATAGTTATCCTCAGCCCATAGATTGAGCCTGTCCAAGTCCCCTGTAGAGCATTTCTATCCCAAAGCAGATCAACACTTCTGCCCAACTTGGTGTTATCTGCAAATTTAGTGAGGGTGCCCGTGATCTCTACATCAAGTTCACTGATAAAGATATTAAACAGAAGTGGCCCTAGTACTGAGACCTGGGGAACACCACTTGTGACTGGTTGCCAACTGGATTTAACTCCATTCTCCACCATGCTCTGGGCTTGGCCATCCAGTGCCATCCCCAGCAGAGCATATGCCCATCCAAGCCATGAGCTGCTGGTTGTTTCACAACAATGCTGTTAGCTTCACTGAAGTCCAGGCCGAGAACATCCTCAGCCTTTCCCTCATCCACTAGGTGGGTCACATTGTCACACAAGGAGACCACATTTGTCAAGGACCTGCCTTTCATGAATTTCTCATATCAATAAGCCCCTTCAACAGCACCCCCACCAAAGAGCCCCCTGGTTACCTTCTGACTGCTTGCCTTCTGAGGGTTTCTAACTGCTGCACTTACACAGTTTTTGAATTTCCAGCTAACATTCAGTTGTACCTGACTGCACACAGCTCATCTTGATACCAGTTTTGCAAGCTGCTTGGGAAATTACCTTTTTTGTCTTAGGTATCTCACTCTCTGAAGCATCATAACCACTTCTCATCCTTAAAAAACCAGCTGCTAGTACAGCATCCAACAAGATACTCAACTAAAAGAAAAACTGCAGACAGATGGAGAACAGTAAACAGAGGCACCCTTAGATCAAATATCCAGGAGACTGAAACAAAAAAAAAGGAAGTGAAAACTTTGCTTGGTCACTTGCCTGTGGAGTGTAAGGACCAGGGGTCATAGGATCAAGACTTTCCAGATCTGCCTCCTCTAGTGCTGCTTCCTTAGCAGTGGAGATGTCTCTCTCAAGTTGAGTCAGGTGTTCATCATACTAAGAACAAAGAAGCTTGCTAAGGTTGCAGAATGTGAAATTCAAACATACAAAAATATAAACAGTGCACCTGTCCACATACCTCAGCTAAAGTCTGGTAACAGATGTTTACAATCTCCTGGGCTGTTTTTGTGTACTGACTGTCTGGCCCTGTAGTAAGAAACAGGTCTTTTTATGCATTCTGACATTTGCTCAGTTCCAGCTGCTGAGACAAAGGCTGTTTTTTGTTACACAGCTCTCATGACACAGGTCCCTAAATCCCAACACCTTCTGATCAAAGCACATACATAAAGAAGGGTTCATATTCAGCTAACAAATAGCAACCAGTTTATTCCAGCATTAAAAATATGATTGAGGAGATAGGAAGCTTGTACCCTGTCAATCTCAAGAAGATTCCCAGAAACTGAAGCAGAGATGTATACTGAGCAAGTAGAAAAACATCTCCAACTACAACTGCCCCATTCTGCACAACGTGGTGAAATAAAGCACCATGTGACAGTAAAAACTTCACTGTTTAAGCATCTCTTCTCTCAGCAGAAAAAGAAAGCAAAGCAACACTCAAGCTCAAGATTCACAACTTCAGGCTTTAACAGCACTACAGAACAAGTGCCCAGATGTACCACCTACCATTGTATTTAATGCTGTTAGCAAGGATGAGATTAACATCATCCAGGAAAGTCTCTCTGTTCTGGTATTTGTGTTTGGAGATATTCTGGAAGAGATTGTCACCCAGTAAGTAATCAAATCTAAACATCTCTTAAGTGGCTACTCAGTTCAAGCTACACACCTTGCGGATGGTCTCCAGATCCATTGGATTAGCAATCACCTTGTAATAATCAGGAACAAACTTTTTGTTAACCGGATGATGAAATGGCCAAGACTGAAGGAAAGAAACCAGACAAGTTTAGAAAAATTCTTTGTATAATTTTTTTACAGTTTGAGCTACAAATTTCAGAACTGATTAATACTCAAAACGTATGGGAAGTATTTATCACAAGGCATCCTGAATCCAATCACTGAGCTTCAGGAGGGACAAAGATCTACCAGTTAGATTTTTAATGAGGCCTGCCGGTTGATACCTGTTTGACAGCAGGAACATGTAACACAAAATAATAATCACAGAAAATATTTTTTCTCTTTGATATCACCATTTCCTCTGCAACATAATTGTAGTGTCCAGCAAGAACACTCATTGCTGTACAATGAATCTAAGTCTGATCTCACAACTGGGGCTATATATACCAGCTTAACAGTTCATCATGGTGTGACAGCATAGAAAAACTCTAAAATATCTTTTTACACATCAGAAATGAGAACTTGATGACAGTAGAGAATTGAACCAACGCATTTTTAAAGAGGACAGGTATTGAGCCCTCTCTCATTCAGACTCTTGCTCCATACTCCATTCAGATATAAGGCACATTATATACGAGTAACACTGAAGTCCTTATCTGTGCAGTTTTATTTGGTAAGCTTAAGGGGCAGTTGTTTAAATACTAACAACTAGTACAACACTAGGTAAACCCAACCAATTAGAAATCAGCTTGTTTTGTTGCACCTGAAAACTGCACCCTTGCAACCACTTCCAGCAGGAGAAGAGTATGTTTTATAATGACCATGCTTAATGAAAATCAGTGACCACACTAATGGAAGGTTGACACAGGCACTATATAGGAGTGAGAGCAACCTTCACTTCTGCACCTCTGCTCCAGTTAAGAGGCGAGCACAGGCATGCCTGTGCCTATCAGAAAAACACAGGCCAGCTCCATGTGCACAACTACGCTGTAAATATACAGCCACAGGATGATAATCAGCATATTTTGCACATCACACACACACACACATCATACTCAAGCTACATACATCTGGAACTGCCATCATCTTCTGAGTGACAATGTTATCCAAAATGAAGGAAAAGGCCACTTGATCATCATCATCCAGAAGGGGATTAATTGCTTTTTCTAATCGAGCCAGTTTATCTTCCTTCTGCAGTAAAAGTAAGAAATATGAAAAAGTAGATGACCTGAGATTAGTAACTGTTAATACCAGGACACTCTGTCCCAAAGAGACTCATTCACCTTTTCACAAAGACACTTGTAAATAAGGGGGTATTATAATAGCCTAGGTCTAAGGCTACATACAAGATAAAGTAACTAGAGTAAAAAGCAAGCATCCATTTTTTGAGAAAGACTCCAATGTGAACTATTTAAAATTATAAAAATACAAATAGACCCCGGAGTGGGGTAAGGAGTTCCCTTAGTCTCCCACTCACCTTAAAGCCCTGTGTTTTGCCTGTTCGTGTCCTTTAGCCTCAAATCCCTCAACCACCCCTGACCATCCCTCCCTCCCCACTCTGACCACAGCTCATTCATAAGACTTGCCTCTTTTAGCTTTTCATCACACAGGTCCAGCATGGACTGAGATATCTGTGTCAGTGAGTGTTTTGGCCCTGCAAACACACAGGAAGTACAGTGAAATACTCCAGCCTGATTAAAAGGTGAATTATGCCACAATATGACAATATGTTTACTCCTAAAACATCACTAGTTATATTTCTAGCACAGTTGGAAGCATATCCTCAAGTATATTCCCAATACACACAATTAGTTTAGCATGAATTTTATATAAGAGAAGGTTATTTGTAGCAAATGTTCACACTTCTTGTATATATTCTGTCACAGTTTGGAAACCCTGTGGGAAAGCAGCTGTGCCAGTGGAAGACTGGCCTCTAAGACCTCCACCCTTGCCAAACTTCTAGAGAACAAATTTCTGTTTCCTTCATCAAATACAGTCAGTGAAGCAGAACTGCTAAGGAAGGCACGGTGGACGTTTAAGGTATATTCAGAAAACCACAACTTTAAATAATTTCATGATTCCTCAGACATTAAAACAAGTATTTGCAACAGAACTATAGAAAAAAAAAAATCTGGTTTATTAGGTTAAAACTGACTTAGCTGTCAAAATAATAAAGGAAGCAGTAAAGGCACAAACCCAGTGCTGTCAGTGTCACCCCAAATGCTACGTAGTCCAGAGAGTCTCAATGCAGCTGGGAGATTTTTTTAATCTGTCCAGTTAATACTTCTTGAACAAAGACCTTTCTATCAGTTGTCAGAATACAGCTGACCTATATATATTATAGTTGCTCAATGAATCAACACTTCTCACCAGCAGATGCGTGCTCTAGTGCAGAATTTATGCCTTTTTGGCTTTTAAACTATCTTTCTGACCTTCCCAAATGGGGAAAAATTTATTATAACTAAGAATCAAAATATGCAAAATCATTACACTAAACACTATTCAAAGTTGCATGCTCCAAGGCAATGGTTTCAAACGGTGTGAACTACTCCTTTTTGTATGGAAAGATTCATTCACTAAAGCAAAATACTGAGCAAGTAAGTTCACAAGTATCTCCCCACCAGTCCGTGTCTGAAAGCAAAAAGGAAGGACACTCACAATGCAGTCTACTGAAAACGAAGTTGTGGTTAGCTTCACTCCATATGAAGGGGACATGCAGGACTTGGCTTAATACATATACCAGTGTCCTCAATCATTGATAGGTCCATAACTGAACTTCAGTTACTACATCACAGGCACTAGTTACTGCACTAGGGCCCACTTCTTTCTTATTTATGAATTAGCTCATTAACATTAGCATCATCTTTCCAGGATATCTGCAAAAATATATTTATTGTTGCCATCTGGCAGTGAATTTATTCCGATTTTCTGTTGCTTTTGTTATGTCTAATGCAAAAGATCCACAGCTCATACATATACAACATATTAGCAGAAGCAGTTTCCCTGCATCGTTGACAGCCTACCGTTGTACGTCGCACTGTTCTTCACAATCAGCTCCAGGTGTTCTCTGAACTCTTCCCGGGACGGGTACTGCCGCTTACGAACATTTTCACGCAAGGTCTGTAAATCCATGGGCCGAGTAATAATCTTATAATAATCCTTGACAACTTTTGGATTTACAGGTGTGTGAAAGGGGTATGTCTGAGGATGCAAAGGAAGAAATGAATGCTTATTAACACAGTACTAGCATAGCTAATCTCAGTTTAACCTCCACAGCTAAACAGACATGAACATATAAAAGCTTTACACAAACTGTTCCTTAATGGCACCATGGAAAATATGATAAACTCAGCCCCACACTGGCCTTCACTTTTTTCTCCAAATGTTCTTTAATACGGTTATAAGAAGAAAAATCTCACAAACCATTCTCAGATGGTATTTTTGGCTATGCAGCACAAAAGTCAAGATACTAAACTTTAAGTTCTCATTTTAACTCAAAACTTCCATTTAATCTTTTGGTTTTACAAGTTTCTGATAAAATCTGGTCAGAAACAGTGATGTACACAATTTCATCCAGTGCTACATATATAAAAGTATTCCATATTGCTACATCAAGCATTATGCATCTTTTTCTAGTTTTGTTGGGGGAGGAGGGGGGAAATCATATCCCAGGCTCTGAATAAGTATCCATACAGAACTATTCAACATTATTTTCTGATATAGATGTTTTCAATCTCCAAAACATTCTGAACTGAGATAACTTAGGAAATAATGCACACCAACTGTGTGCAGGGTAGGGGGCAAACGGGTGGTACACCACTCATCAGAAAAAAAGCCTAGCCTAATTTTGGCATCCACAACACACAAGCTACTTCAACCGTATTGCTTAAGACACAGGTTTTTGGTCTCATAGCTTAAACTTACATTAGGAAGATCCCTTATGTCATTGATGATGCCCTCCAAGATGGATGACAGCGTCACCATGGGATCTGTTCGCCGTCGGTGGATAGATTTATGAGGACGCTGCAGAAATTAGAAGCAGAAAAATTAAGGCAGTTCCAAGATGCCAAATATTTACCCACAAAAACCCTAGGCAATTCAGTTTATTAATTTATGGGCAGGTTTCTGTGTTGCATGTGGAGGATGCAGAGGAGCAATAAAGAACATGGCCTATTAGCACAAAAAACAGAAACAGAGATGCTGCAGTCAGGTCAGTAACACCTTTACTCACATTCAGGTAATCACAGTGAACAGTTGTCCCTACTCGTCGCTTCTTCTTTGGAGGAAGCTGCTGTTTAGGAAACTTCAGGACCAGTGATTTCCTGCGAACCTCATCTGCACTAGGTAAATATAAAAAAAGCATAATATATTCTCCAGCCCTCTTGTGAATCGAGACCATTTCGCCCCAGTATTGGCTCTGATCCCATCTGCCATAATATCAAATACATAATCAAAATACTGTAGTAATAGCCTACGTAAAGCCCTGACACTTTATTCCTATAATTAATATATCTATCAATATTCTGCACTAAGCTCTAGATTGTTTTTTCTTACTACCCATCATATCACTGCTTCTTCCCTTACCTCTCAATCAGTTGTTTTCCCAGGACAATTTTTGTTCCTTCTACTTTGATGAGTTCTTCATTATCATTGTGAATTACTGTTTTTTCCAGCTCTTCTTCCTGCTCCTCTGTCATTGCAACAGGATTAGAAGGCGGGGCATTCGTTTGGTAGTAAAGAGGGCAGAACTTATTAGTCCTCATATGGCCAATCGCACCACATGCTCCACATTTTAGCTGCAAAAATGTAAGAAAGATGACAGATCCAAACTCATATACAGGCTTCTAATTTAGAGGAAAAGTATCAGTAAAATCCCCTACTCAGTCCTTTAGTACATCAGTAGAACAGAAAACCTCCCATGCTCAAGACCTGTAGCATGCTTTACATATGCTTACTTTCAAGTCTGGACGCTCTTTCATTTTCTTGGGCTTCTTTTCTGGAGGGCCCTTGAGTTTTTCCTTTTCTTGGTTCCGTTTTAACCGCCGCAGTTGTTCCTGGATCCTGCGCCGCTCCTTCCGCATCTCCTCACGGTGCTGCTCATCAAAGAGAGCAAACTTTCGTCTGGAGGGAGAAAAAACAAACCACACGTTTTTAATCTGAGTTAATGATGTGCCAGGTACTCTTCTGCCAGACCAATCACCCCACAAAATTTTTAATACCCTCCAAATGGACAGCCATTACATATATCTCTCTCCACATAACTACAATGCCAAACTTCTACACTCAATTCTTCATACTGCCAATAGAATGAACAGCCTACAAGTAAAGTTAAAAACTGAAAAAAAGGAAAAACATCATGTAGGTCTCACATGAACTCTTCATCCTTGGTGGTGCGTATGCGGCAGTAGGCGTCGATAACAGCCGGCTTCCGCACGGTCTCACACCTCACGTACTCCTTCCCGTCCTCGTCTCGGAACGTGCGGTAGATTTTGAGGCGGCGGCCGGTGGCAGAGGAATTAAGGCTGGTTACAGAGGCAGTGTCATCATCTTTGTGAGAGTTTGATGAGGCTCCTGAAGCTGTTGCTACAAGACAGTGCTTTATTTATTTTTCATTTCTTTCACGTTGTAGAAACATGTTTAAATACAGTTTTGGCTTAAAAATGTCCAAGACACAAATCCAGGAAAACCCAAGCAATAGAAGTCTTTCCCTCGCTTGCTCATGTTCTCTTACCATGACATAGAGCAATCTAAAAAAACTGTAAACTACTGAATTAACAACATGGATTATAAAACCAGAGGAACAGCTACAGTCATCTGGCACCCACAGGTGCCTAAGTGCAACCTGTAAGGCAACTGCAGCATGGCTTCTCTGCAGGGCTATGTAAGCTGTCTGCTAGCTTACAGTTACAGTAGGTTTGATCATAGGTATGGAGGTCTGGAAGAAACCAAAGGTCAACAATTACCTAGTTCTCCAACTAGTGTTACAACCAATGACCTAGTCTTGTCTCATGTGACCACAATTTTTCCAGCATTATCCATAATTTTGGTCAAGAGATTTTTTTTTTAAAATAACACTGGCTATCTTTCCATAAGTCAACAATCATCACCAAATCTTCCACATATCCCTTACTAAATTATTCCAGTAATTATTTAATTAGTGATTTATTCTTAATCTGGGTTTCCAACAGCAACAATAATATTGACACAGTTACAGCAGAGCTCAACTTTGCTCCATACAAATTCACCAAGTAACAGTGGTCATGGGAACCACCATACATTCACAGGTCAAACACTTTTACCTGCCAGTTAGTGATATGTCAAGTTCTCTGTTGGAATGCACTTAGAATAAACATGTCTCCAGGAGATCCGAATCTGGCAGCTGCCCGATTACCTCCTGAAATGCTGGGGTTTGAATCCCAAGCCCCGAATTAAGGTTGACATATGGGTGATCCCCACAGCCCTTCACACAGAGGAGGTGAGTTTGCCTTATAGCTTCCCCCCAGGGTGCGGCCGGCCCTGCAGGGAGAGCCAGAAGGGAAATGAGCCCCAGGGGTCCCGCACTGAGTGAACAAAGGTCAGGTGTCTGCTTGGGGATAAAAGCTGGGACCACTGGCAGGGAGTCAGGAGTGTCTGTCTGTGGAGTGCACTCCACAGAGCTTCCTGGTTCAGGGCAGACCTCCTGACTCTCCTGGAGCTGGGCCCTGGTCTGTTTAGACCTTTGTGAACGTGGGCTGATCAGGTGAGAGTCACTATGTGGGCACCTTTCTCTTATGTATTTAACTGGCTGGTTTGGCTGTTTCCCATGCCAACTATGGGAAACCTCAGTTCACTGTTTGTACCACCTGTTGTTGGCCGTCTCACATCTTTTGTGGGATCGCTGGGGGTGGCGTCGATCATGTACCAGCTGGTTGACCTGTTTGTACCCCCAGCAGTCAATGTTTCTGGTTACAGTACAGTCTATTGGTTGTTCTTTCTGCTGGCTGTATCATTCTTTCATTGGCAGAACACCTCCCAAGTGCACGACTACAGCACAATGTGAAACGGACACTGCTACCAGTCTGCATCATGTGCCTGTTTCACACACATAGCTGTGTTTAAAGCCAAGACCAAAACTGAGTACCATAAGCTGGATGCAGACACTATTTGTGAACACACCTTGAGAAAACTACCCAAAAATATGTGCCCCCACTTCCCCTAGGGAGGAAAAAAAAAAAAGATACTTAAGCAGCAAGCAGTCCATGTCTGAAGAAATATCAAAGTTTACAGTTCAAAATAAGCAAAGTTATGGGGAAAAGAAAATACTTTAAATGCATTTTCAGCCAGTAACTGCTCAGAAGGAAGAACCCCCATATAAGCATGGCTTACAACCAAGAATGTATAGATTCCTTCCTCCTTGTAAAGGAATCCACACTCTCCTCTGAGAGGCCAGATCAGCACACAAAACAGCACACAGAGTTCTGCAGCCCTTCCCAGGTACACTGTGGATGTTGCAGTTACTTACACAGACCCTTTTTGTCTCTCCTGTCCTTTTTGCCTCTCTCTTTGTCATTGCCACTGTCTTCTCCCAGAAGCATCCTCTGCAATTCCTTTCGTTCCTGCTCTTCTCTTTCCCGAGAGAGCTGAGAACTAGTTTTCTTGTTCTGTAACATATTTTCAATATTCTTTCCCATCTCTTCAAAGTCACTGTCTTCAGCTGAGCTGCTATCTGTGTCTGTTGACAGGACCTCAGTGGATTCTAGAACCCTGAAACAGGAGTCACCTTGAAAGTCAGTTAGTCCACTCCACTCCCACCAAAAAAATCAACCTGTTACCTACCCAGAAATACAAAGATAAAATGATGCAATGGTTTGAAAATTGTTGTTGGAAATCACTACTACAAGAACAGGCATAATATTCCCTTCTCAGTCCTCCTGTAATCTCTGTGTCCAAAAGATCAACTGTTCCAAGCCAAACTTCTGCAACAACTTGATCTCCTCATCATCAACAGTACTATATTCCCTCCCAGGTGTCTCAGGTCTTGGGCCAGAACAAGAAATAATTGCATGAATTCTTCTGGCAGTTCTAAAGAACAGGACATAGCTGCTACTCTAAGAGAGATGGTAAATTGCTGTTAACTAAAACAAAAGGGAATACAGTGGTGAACTTTTACCTGTGGAAGAGTGGAACATGCCATTGTACATGGCAGACTATGCAACTCATTCTACCTTTCCAAAAGGTCTATGCCAGAAAGACACCAAGGCTAACCTCTAAGTTTCTATGAACACCAAAGCCCTCTTTCTCAGTGCTGTATTTTGTGGACCAAATCAGCTGAATCAACATACCATTACATATAATTTAGCCTCAGGCACAGATAGCACTGGACTTTTAGGATGAGGACAGGGTGGGGTTCAAGGCTATAAACATCAGAAAAGAACTTACTTATTTTGTAAATCGAAGATGCGCTGACATTCTTCTTTGTATCTCTCCTGATGTTCTGCTACAGAAAACCGAGACCCACGTGCAAATTTGCTCATAGGACCTTCCCCTGAACGAGCCTGCTCTGTGGACATCGTACGCACCACGTCAATCACCTCCCACCGGGACAGCTTCTTTATCTGGAAGGAGGACGACAGGTAAGAAACTGCTTTAGAGACATACAACTGAGGTAGCCGACTGTGGATTTTGACTCCTTTCTGCACCAGGTCAGAGCAGAAGCGCATACATCCCTTCCACCATCAGCTGCTGAATCCATTATTAAAGAGAACTCTTTAACTTGCTCCAGGATCATGCTCACCTCCTCTTCAGGCACTCCAAATTTACGCAGAAGCTGTTTGGCATTTTTGAGAGACAGTCGGCGCAGATCAGCATCTGTCCCAGTCACTGTCTTTTTCACTGGCTGAGGTTCTTTATCGTCCTGTTCATGGGAAGATGCAGCCTATTAATGTCATCACATAATAGTCCTTCCTAGGCTCATCTAATATTTTATCTTCTTGATGCCCCATATTCACTCTGTTTCTCCCACATGACTTTCCAGTTACTGCTCCTCATCCAACCCAACCTTGGGAGCTATACCTTCTGCTGAGTTGGTTTGTTCGGAATCTTCACATAAGAAAATCCTTCACCACAACCAGTGGGATCTGCTACACCAGTCACTTCTAGGAGGCACTTGCCCTTCATAGCAGCAATGAAGGCTCGTGTGGTGTTCCATGGAGCTGTGCGCACCTGCCAGAAGAAGAAGAGAAACACACCCCCACAATCCTGCTATTACACTGAGGAGTGTTCCAAGCTTTTCATTGTGTGCTTTCAATCTGAACAGATTGAACTGAGATTGACTGAACTTTTCAACAGACATAACAAGAATGAATTCCACTTCTTGATCCTTCAGCTGCCCAGATAAAACCTCTATGAAGAAAAAAAAGTGCCAGACAACTTACATAAGGCATTTAAAGCAAAAAGTGTAGTCCTGAAAGGATCTGGCAAGAAGGATCCCCAAACACAGGTATAAGCTTGGGAGCAGACTTCCCAGGAAAAGTTACAAGAAAATTTGATCTGCTGAAACTCTTTTGCTGACTGTGCACCCCAGTAGGAAGGATATTGGCATTAGCAGGATACGTACAAGAAAGACCTAAACATCCCACTTCTAACTTCTGGGCTGCAAGTGCACACTGCTGGCTCACATTGAACTTCTCATCCGCCAGCACCCTCAAGTCCTTTTCATCAGGGCTGCTCTCCAGCCAGTCCCTGCCCAGCCTATTTCAGTGCCTGCAATTGCCCGGACCCAGATGCAGGACCTTGCACTTGTGGCCTTGTTGAACCTCGTGAGGTTGGCTTGTGCCCACCCCTCCAGCCTGTCCAGGTCCCTCTGGATGGATCCCTTCCCTCCAGCGTGCCAGCTGTACCACACAGCTCGGTGTCGTCAGCAAACTTGCTGAGGGTGCACTCAGTGCCACTGTCCATGTCCCCGACAGAGATGTTAAACAGGACTGGTCCCAGCACTGATCCCTGAGGGACTCCACTCGTCACTGGCCTCCAGTGGACATGGGACGCATTTCCAGCCACTCTTTGGGTGTGGCCGTCAAGGCAGTTCTTTATCCACTGTGTCATCCATCCACCAAATCCATATTTTAACAGCTTGGAGACCAGGATGTCGTGGGGCACAGTGTGGGAGGCTTTGCTCAGGTCCAGGTAAATGACATCAGTTGCTTGTACCTCATCCATTGAAGTTGTGACCTTTTCATAGAAGGTCACCAGGTTTGTCAGGCACGATTTGCCCTTGGCGAAGCCATGTTGATTATGCACAAACACCTCTTTGTTATTCTTCTGTCTCAGCAGTGCCTCCAGGAGGATCTGCTCCATGATCTTTCCAGGCACAGAGGTGAGACTGACTGGCCTATAGTTCCCTGGTTCTTCCTTCTTTCCCTTTTTGAAAATGGGGGTTATGGTTCCCCTTTTCCAGTCAGTGGGGATTTCACCAGACTGCCATGACTTTTGGAATATAATAGAGAGGGGTTTAGTAACCTCATCTGCCGGCTATTCAGTTTGTGAAAAGAATTTATTTTTTTCTTTTTTTCTCCTTATTCCATCAGGTAATCACAAACCTGATCGTCACTCACAATGGGCAGCTCTTCCTTCAATACCCTGCCACTGTGTTCTGTGACTCTGGGAGTGTGGTTGGAGCCCTTGCCAGTGAAGACTGAGGTAAAGTCACTGAGAACCTCAGCCTTCTCCATGTCACATGTAACCAGCTCACCCGTTTCCCTTCTAGGGTGGCCCACAGCTTCCCTAGTCTTCCTTCTACCATTAATGTACCTGTAGAAATTTTTGCTATTCCCCCTGATCTCCCTGACTAGATTTAATTCAAACTGAGCTTTAGCTTTTCTAACCTCTTGCTCCTCAGACTGCTTCCTTATATGTCCCCCATTCTAGCTGTACTTTCTTCCACTCGTGTAAAGCTTCTTTTTGTGTGTGAATGTGATCAGCAGCTCCCTGATCAACAAGGCAGGTTTCCTACCATTCTTCCCTGCCACCTTCTTTGTTGCTTCATTCTGTGTTGCCTTCCTTGCTTTGGTCTTTAAACCTGAGACCAGCCCTTGTGAACTCCAGATCCCAGATGTAGGCGAGAAAGCCTGGAGGAGGGAAAACTCCCTGCTAGTCAATGGAGACTGGGTTAGTGATCAGCTAAGGAAATTGAATATACATAAGACCGTGGGCCCTGATAAAATGTATGCAAGAGTATTGAGAGAACTGGCTGATATTGTCACTCTACCACTCTCCATCATTTTTGCTAGATCTTGGAAAATGGGAGAGGTGCCTGAGGACTGGAGGAAAGCCAATGTCACTCCAGTCTTCAAAAAGGGCAAGAAGGAAGGTCCAGGAAACTACAGACCAGTCAGCCACACCTCCATCCCTGGAAAACTGATGGAGCAGCTCATTCTGGAGGTCATCTCTGAGCACATGGAAGAGAAGAAGGTTATCAGGACAAGTCAGTATAGATTTACCAAGGGCAAATCAGGCTTGACTGATGTGATAGCATTCTATGATGTAGTGACTG